TTTTTTTTTTTTTTTTTTTTGAGGACCAGCAATAAATTATTCCATGAAGTAGTCTGTACCTTTGGTTACTTCGACGAACATAGTTATCACCATCAACTGGCTTTCGGTAAGTAGTAAGTGCTTCATTAAGTTGTTCTTCAATCAAGTCAACATATTTTGAATTATATTCCTAGAAGATATTGTTTTAGTTGTATATAGTATCACAACAACATTCACTACATTCATAATATGTTAGGTACCTAGCAAATCTTGGAAGCATAAATATGAGAAAAATGAACATCTGTTCAGGAAATTTAAGAAATTTTAAAAAGTTAGGTAAAACCAAGTATTATGAATGCAAATGTTCTACCATATCCCAAAGCTTTCTGCTTATACTTTTTTTTTTTTTCAGTCTATTTATTTTGAGAGAGAGAGAGTGAGTGAGTGAGTGAGTGAGTGAGTGAGTAAGCAGGGGAAGGGAGAGAGACGGAGTGAGAGGATCCCAACCAGCCTCCATACTGGCAGCTCAGAGCCCAAATGGGGCTCAATCTCATGATGCTGAGATCATGACCTGAGCTGAAATCAAGAGTTGGATGCTTAACTGACTGAGCCACCCAGGTGCCCTCTGCTTATACTTTTATCCCCATCTGCAATTAATATTTTAGAGTCCATATAAGTAAGTTAATAATTTTGTTTTTTATCTTATTTAAATTACTTTCCCCATTAAATATGAATAACAAAAAACTAGCCTCTTAATATTAAACCCTGAAGGTATTCACTAGAAATTTAAAAAGGGAAATTAAGCCATTAATTTAGTGCCTTTTGGTAAAACATATCCCTTTCCCCACTGATTTAAATCAAGTCAAATGTATAAATTTTTCCAACTAAAACTTGGAAAACTTCTAGTTAACTTCTTTAAACTGAGGGTCAGTCACTTGCATCTTTATTTCAAGAGATCACTTTAAACTGGTTAGAAGGAATGGATAGGACCTCTCTGGAAGGCAATTTGGCAGTATGTATCACAAATTTTAATTCACATACTTTTGACTCAACAACTATACTTTCAGAAATGTATCTTAAAGGGGCACCTCGGTGGCTCAGTCAGTTAAGCATCTGACTCTTGATTTTGGCTCAAGTCATGATCTCACGGTTCATGAGACTGAACCCTGTGTTGGGCTCTGTGCTGATACCGTGGAGACTACTTGGGATTCTCTCTCTCCACCCCCCTCCCTCCTCCCCCCCCATGCACGTGTACTCTCACTCAAAATAAATTAATAAAAAAAAGTGTATCCTATAGATAATACTTGTACAAGTATGCAAAGATATATGCAAAAATATCCAACAAACACTGTTTACAAAACAAAAAACATTGGAAACAATGTCAATACAGGAGTGGTTATCAAGGTACATTCACAGAAAGCACTATGGAGCCATTAAAAAGAATGAGCTAGGGGCGCCTGGATGGCTCAGTTGGTTAAGTGTCTAACTTCAGCTCAGGTCATGATCTCATGGCTTGTGAGTTCAAGCCCTGGGTTGAGCTCTGTGCTGATGGCTCGAAGCCTGGAGCCTGCTTCAGATTCTGTCTCCCTCTTTCTCTCTCTCTCTCAAATATAAATAAACATTAAAAAAAAAAAATGAGCTAGATTTACATGTGTAGCTCTGAAAAGATGGCAGATATACTGCTAAGGGAAAACTTAAATAGCTTTATCTATACTTGTAAATAGAATTCATTTGTATTTTTAATTTAAAAATTTTAAGGTTTATTTATTTTGAGACAGAGAGTGCAAGTAGGGGAACGGCTGGGAGACAGAGAGAGAGAGAGAGAGAGAGAGAGAGAGAGAGAGAAAAAGGAAGGTAGGTAGGTAGGTAGGTAGGTAGGTAGGAAGAAGCCCAAGCAGGCTCCGCACTGTCAGTGCAGAGCCTGACATAGGGCTCAAACCCACAAAACTGTGAGATCGTGACCTAAACTGAAACCAAGAGTCAGACACTTAACCAGCTGAATCACCCAGGCACCATTCATTTGTATTTTTTAAATAAAGAATATGTACTTATAAATGTACAGAACATCTCTGAATGCACACAAACTGGTGACAGATATTACCTTCAGAAATGACAAAATAAGGGCACAGGGAGATATTTTTCATTCAAAACCATTTTAGACAACTTGAATTTGGTGAGTTACTACCTTCACTCTCTACTTACAGCCTCTAAAAACTTTGTTTTTATGTTTTTCCTTAGGTTCCATATTTATTTTCTAACAGTAATACAAGGTTTTGATTATACCATACCATTATAGAACACCATCATTATTATTACTGCTACTATTACCACTATACTATTATCATGCTCCCCTGTATATATGAAAATCTCAGTGCAAAAAAGTCTACTTAAGGCAGCTATTCTGAGCTTTATGCAGGAGTAGTTATATTCATGTGGTTAATCTTTTGACCAGGGCACTCATTTGGAAAACACCAGCAAAGGTCAGGGGTATGGTTTATAGCTGTGAAACGCACTGAATTTCTGATGTGGGTCATCTTGAGGATTCTGTCCAAAAGGACCTATCTGGAGGGCAAGAAAACCCCAATTGAGGGGTGGACCTCTAGCTACTAGGAGGCAACAGAAGTAGGCTGCCAGAGGAGCCTACTGCCCTAGTCAAGGGAACTGCAAAGGAGAGATCCATAGTGGAGAGGTCTCGGAGAAATTCAAGAAAGTAACTCTCAAGTAAAAGAACTAACATTTGAAATCTGTCACACTCAAAGCTAAATACCCCAGATAACAACTGTACCAACTGAGTAAGTCTGTTCTTGGCCCCATGCAACCTTCTTCCTCCTCCTGCTCCAAAGGTGAAGAGGCCCAAACCGGAGAGGAGCACACAGAGTGATGAGATTAACCAGATCCTCCCTCTACTGTAGATTTCTAAGTCTGTATTAGGTCTGGGTGTTAGGGAGAAGTTTTAAACTGAAAGAATTTTGGGGCCATCTGGGTGGCTCATGGCTTAGTTGGTTAAGCATCCGACTTTGGCTCGGGTCACGATCTCATGGTTCATGGATTTGCATCCCATGTCGGGTTCTGTGCTGACAGCTCATAGCCTGGAGCCTCCTTCTTTGGATTCTGTGTCTCCCCCTCCCTCTGCCCCTCCCCTGCTTGTGCTCTCTCTCTCTCAAAAATAAACATTAAAAAAAATTGAACTGGGGCGCCTGGGTGGCGCAGTCGGTTAAAGCGTCCGACTTCAGCCAGGTCACGATCTCGCGGTCCGTGAGTTCGAGCCCCGCGTCAGGCTCCGGGCTGATGGCTCAGAGCCTGGAGCCTGTTTCCGATTCTGTGTCTCCCTCTCTCTCTGCCCCTCCCCCATTCATGCTCTGTCTCTCTCTGTCCCAAAAATAAATAAACGTTGAAAAAAAAAAATAAACAATGAATTTTTAATATTATACTGTCCTGGATGTTTGATTACTTTGAAAAAGAGACAGACTTAGTTCATGTTGGCATGCCATAAGCTACTGGGAGGAAACCAAAAATAGTGGAAAAGAGTATGGGTTTGGAATCAAAAAGTATCACTGCTCTGCTATTTTCATGCTCTGTGACCTAGGATAAACTACTCCTCTGGGATAAAATTTACTCTTCTTAGCCTCCAAATTTTCATTCACAAAACAGAAATAATAAAATATATTTCACAGGGTTGCTGTGATTAAAGCAAGGATTAAAGGAGGTAATATCTGAAAAGCACTAAGCTCAATGGTAGGCAATCAGTAAGTTAGCTTTCTTCTCTTTCTCTTTCTCTTAATTAATTTGAGAGGACTATGTTGTCTTTATTTTTACATCGCCCATTTACTGCCTAATGAACTGTAATTGCAATTCAGGATGTGTTTGTAATTTTCTAATGAAAATGTTCTAGCGAAATTCACCAATGACCTAACTGTCAAATTCAACAGCCTATTTTCTACTATTCATCTTATGCGACCTCTTTAACAAATACGTATCACCGGCCTCTCCTTCCTGAAGCATCCGTTAGTGACAACATTCTCTATGACAATTTTCTCAGTGTCTTTGTCCTTCTATTCCCCTCATTAAAACAGAGTGTTTGCTAGGGAGCAATTTCCACTTTTCTTTCTTTTTTTATTCTTTACATTTTCCCTGGTGATCTCACTCATTTCAGATTTCAGAAGACTCCCAAATTGTCATCTTCAGCACATATCTGAGTTCTTGATCCCCAATTCCAAACATTTTCTGGATACCATAACTTGGTCATTCCACAGAGCAATACCAATTCAACATATTCATAATTCATTATCCTCACCCTGCAAGCCACTTCTGTAATCACAATCTCTTAATGGTGATCCACTGCATGCTCAGTCATTGAAATCAGAAACTTTTTTTTTAAAAAAATTTTTTTTTCAACATTTATTTATTTTTGGGACAGAGAGAGACAGAGCATGAACGGGGGAGGGGCAGAGAGAGAGGGAGACACAGAATCGGAAACAGGCTCCAGGCTCTGAGCCATCAGCCCAGAGCCTGACGCGGGGCTCGAACTCACGGACCGCGAGATCGTGACCTGGCTGAAGTCGGACGCTTAACCGACTGCGCCACCCAGGCGCCCCAAAATCAGAAACTTTTAAGAGTCAGATGGACTCTTTATTCATTATATACAATCAGTCAACAAATCCTACCCATCTTATTTCAAAAATGCTCAGAAAATATACCCTGCCTATCCAATCTCAGCACTACTGGAGTTCACATTCTTACCAATTCTTGCTTCTAAACTGGTCTCAATATTTCTAGGCTTTACCTTTGATGATCAAACTTCTGCCTCTACCCTGCGACCTGTCATGTTTCTAAAGCACAGGTCTGATTATGATTAGTCTTTAAACACCTATAATAATCCCCCCACTTCCAATAAAACTGAAATACCTTTATATGACATAATGTGGTTAGTAAGGCCTATAATCTAGTTCTAATTTACCATTCCAGCCTCATCTTGCCAGTCCACACTTATCTTAGCCCCAATTACACTGGAATACAGATAGCTTGCTTCATAAATCTGAAGTGTCTATAATCTATATAGATCTATTCTGCTCCCTCAGCCTAGAATACCCTTCTTCCTACTTATCTACCTACCTCCTCCTCAAGACCATTCCAAATATCATATGCTTTCCTGAGCCCACCCAACATTGCTTTCACTAATTCTAATCCCTAAGGCAGAATCATTTGTGTTTCCTTATACACTGCACATGCCTTTGTGATTGCAGTTATATTTTATACCTACTATTTGAAAGTACCGTACCAGATATGCTAAGCAATTTTCTAATACTGTAATTTGTGTAATAAGGTGACCGATTTTACTATGGTAATTTGTTTAAATAACTTCTATTTATGAACTAGAACTATCACATCTTACTTCAATTCTCCAATTCATCAATTACTAACGACTTCATGCCTAAAGTATGTTTTCTAATTACAGTTTTTAAAATGAGAGCTTCTTGTGAAATATGGTTCAATATAGACAATGTAAATGATTGACATGATGAAAAATCTAAAAATTATTTACATTTGGATTGATTACCCATGGGATTCTAAGATGCTTTGACAATTTATAATGCTTCAAACAAAACAACCACAGTGACAACCAACTAAAGAAAAGCTAGTAAGTTCTCTAATAACTTCAAATTATTCCCTCCTTCCTAGGTTTCCCCATTATCTAAAACAGCAGTAAGTCTGTTCTCAGATTATGTAAAAGTAGCACCCTAAAACGAAGTTAACTTAGATTATTATATCTGCTTGGTAGAACTGTTTTCTTCCTTCATTTAGGAAAACTGTTTTAGTCGTAGCTTCAAAGGGCTATCTAAGGGACCCAAGAATAAGAATAAAAGAATTATATCAGTAGATTGTATCAATTAAACCAAAAACAAAATTTCAATAGAATGTACACAAAATCAATAGTTCACTATAAAATGACTGCTCTCTAGCTTTAAAAAAATGGATAAATATAAATACAAGTAATTATACAGAATTTAAGACCTGACTTCATATGAATGTTTAAATATTTGACCTCTTTCGTTTCAAAACACTGATATGAAAAATCCTCTAAATTCATAAATCTATTTCCTAGTAATAAAAACATACCAATTAAAGCTTATTCAACAGAGAGTTACCTTGTGCCATTTTTCCAACTGTTTTGCTACATAACCCCTTTCATTCAGATAGGAAAATCCTTTTGGAATGGAAAGAAATCTGTAAATTAAAACAAGCAATAGTTTAACACAAAGTCTTACTACAAGTGTTTAAAGGAGCTAAGATATCTTAAACAATACTATATTTAAGAAGCTAAAAGACTTTAGGAATAGCTCCTTCCTGAAAGTAAAAGGTCAACTATACTATAATTTCAAATAAAAATAAATTTTCATAATCTTGGAAAAACATATGAATCCAATCACAGTAAAGAAAATGTCATGAAAATCATGAGAAGACACAGAAATGTAAAAGAAACATTAAGGAAAACAATGAAAAGACAGAGTTTCAGTATTAAAGATTCTAAATTAGACCTCTTTCAGTAGTTAATACTAAACTCTTTAGAGTGCTTCCTGTTTGGATTTGAACTGAGCTTTAAAATATACCGCTAGAGAGAATACAACAAAAACACAACTATAAGAAAAATTTACTTAATATTTACCTCAGGAGGAGAAGCAAACCCTTGTCCCCAAGGTGAGATAAAGCTGGCTTCATCTGAATAAGAGCATGAAGATTGGCCTAAAAGAAGTATTAGGCAAATTAACAATTGCAAAAGACAGTAAATTCTCCATTTCCAAAATGCCTGTGTTAAGTACATTATAATTTACATAATTTTCTACTAAAATGGAATATTTTAATAATTAAAATTAATCTAAAATAATTGAATAAAAATTCATGTCTAAGTATTCTATTATAAAATAATGAACCTTCACCTTGTCTTCACATGCTTCATCCAGAATATCAAGAGCTTCAGAAGAAATTGTTTTGTTTTTATCGTGTAGCTGGGTCACTAGTAATTCAATTCCCCAGTTATTGAAGAATTCAACATTAGCTCTCAATAATACTCTTAAATGTTTTGTTGCATACAGCCTACAGGCCTACAAAGATAAATGAAAATAAAAAAATAAATTAAAAAAAAACAAACCATGGATCGTCAATTTGGGCTTTGTTTGGCAGTTTTGCTATTTGAAAATGGCAGGAAAATTGGAATTGATGGTCTAGTCCTTGATATATTTTTTTAGACTAGTAAATCAAATACTTTTGTGTCAATCTACCTGCTTCTTCCCCTTTATAGAAAAAAAATGGGTACTACACATAGTTCCTTGAAGGAACTACTATTTTAAATTTTTTTTTTTTTTCAACGTTTATTTATTTTTGGGACAGAGAGAGACAGAGCATGAGCGGGGGAGGGGCAGAGAGAGAGGGAGACACAGAATCGGAAACAGGCTCCAGGCTCTGAGCCATCAGCCCAGAGCCCGACGCGGGGCTCGAACTCACGGACCGTGAGATCGTGACCTGGCTGAAGTCGGACGCTTAACCGACTGCGCCACCCAGGCGCCCCGGGAACTACTATTTTAAAGTAAACTCAAATTCCATCCCATATTCTTAGAATTAATAATTAATTCTGCTTGGCTAAAATTTATGAGTTATTGAATTAATTGATTATAAAAATATAGTTTTATTGCCTGTGTTACACTCACATCAGTAGCTGCAGTAAGGATTTTGGAAAGGATGACTCTTGCCAATCCATCTCTGCTATAATCCAAGCTAGAAACAGTCAGTTTCAGCAAGTGATCTTGATTTTTCAAGGAACAGAGGTTAAGGAGACTAAAAAAAAAAAAAAAAAAAAAAAAAAAAAAAAAAAAACATGAAAATATAAATAAGCATTTCTACAAAAAAGCATTTAATGATAAATATCACATAAAAAGGAATAACAAAGCAGCAAGATAACTCTATTTTTTTTGTATTTTAATAAAACTTACTAAATACATGTACACAGAATAAAAAGCATACCATTTCTGAGTACATTAAAAATAAAGTTCAGGTATGTTTTGAAACAGAACTAGGGATATTCACCACTGAAATACGCTGCATTTTTCCAGCATTTTGACTCCATGAGGGTGGCAAGAAAGTGTTCCAATAAATAAAAAGTAGTGTTGACTAAGGGTAGTCAATAAACCATTATTCTGAAGACTTCGTTCAGGTTTCATTCCAGACGAGGCATTGAGCCACTGAACAATATCCTTTACTAGATCTTCTAAGTATCCTTGCCCATCCTAAAAGAAAATACATTGTGTTATTATTAGAAAAGCACTTTTGCTTATAATTAGAAAAATTAACTGTAATCAAGTCCAAAAAATTTAGAGATAATGATGAAGTTACTAACAACAGATACCAATCACTGAGTACTTCTTCATTTCACAATGCTATATGAAGATGAAGATGATATTATCTTCCACTTAACAAGGAAGAAAACAGGTTTTCTAGAAGGCACGTAACTCGTCCAAAGTCACATAACTAGCTAGTGGCAAAGTCAGGATTCAAATCTAGGTCTGGGCTCATTCTGTATGCTACTAAACACAACTTATGCATACTCAGAAATAAAAGGAAGAGGGTTAATTCAATGAAAAACATTTGCCCAGGATAATATTCAAAATGCTCATTACCTCTTCGGACTCAAGAAGAAATTCTGTAAATTGACAACCCACAACTGTGAGCTGCTTAGACTTGGCAAAATCCAGATCCAGGTTGGCATATAATTTACTGCTGGGCTTGTAGAAGTAAAGTAGTCTTCGCACAAATCTAAGACCAAAATAAAATTAGCAACAAAGTAAGAAGCCAAACAATTACTTAGTCATAGCTTATCATACAAGATTTTGAATATGTTTTGTGTTTAAACCACTATAGTAAATGGCAAGGAACAAACATATTTGGTACATTACACACATGCGTGCGCGCGCGCACACACACACACACACACACACACACACCAATAAAAAAACAAAAACCAACCAAAAAAACACCTTAGTTATCAAGAACAGTTTGTGAAATAATTTTATGGTGAGATGCCTGAAAGATATAGTAGAGAGCAAAGATGCTAGCCGGAAAAATGCAGATATAACATAACTAGCTAGAAGATAAGGCTAGATATATATGAAGAAGCCACCTGAATATAAGCTTTCTTCTGTATTTTGTGACGATCTCTGTTCCATGACTCAATAAAATAATCTTACACTAGATAATTGTAAGCAAAATGTATCATACTACAATTCTGTCAGTTTTTCACAATTAGACAAAAGGTCAAGCATAAAAGTTGCAGGTAAAATTCAGGCAACTTAATTTATAAAGCAATGAATACAATTAGTGATCTTTCAGCTTTATAACTTTCAACATTATGGTCTAAGCTTCCATTTAACTTAGTTCAATATAATTTCATGCACTACAATTCAGTCCAATAAAGGTGCCAAACTCAGGATTTGGAGAAACAAAGTTGAATGAGACTTCATCTTTGTTCTCAAGCAGTATGAGAAGTTAGTGCTATGCTTCTTTATTCCAGTGTAAATTTATATGTTTCATATACATTCCACATATAGATATTAAGTTAAGCATTATGAGTAGATGAATACAACCAAATAATAATTAAGGACATGAACTTTTCAAAAACATAAAGGCCATTTTATTAAATGAGATCAGTACTGGTGGTTGATTAGTCTAAACTCAGGATAACACAAATGCACAGGGTACTAGAGAGCAGCACAAAGCTTAAGTACTGCATATGCCACGAACATTAGCTTGTTTTATAAAAAGTGTGGAGAGCATCAACTTGGTTAAGGGGAATGTAAAAAGGAGGACATATGAATAACCCTCCAAAGCCAGATGCAAATGCACGTAGCAGCAGAACAGTAAAAATGGCCATCATTTTGAGAGGGAAACACTATGTCCTTATTATGTCATCCTCACACATTAGGGTTAAGATTACCATATGGTTGATATTACCCCAATCTGAGAAACTTTTATCTGAAGTACATCAAGTGTTCTAAAACTAAAACCAAAATATAAATAACTAGAAAAAGAATTAGCTGATGATTTTGGGTTATAAGACTAAAACTCAAAAATGTATACATGTACCTACTAAATACCAACCACTAAAATGTATGTATCTATCTTTAAAATACCAATTATTACTTTTCATGGGTATTAGGCATAATATAATTCAAATCTAAGTTCTTTTGATTTAAATGCAAAACAGTTGTTACATACCTGTGCAACTGTTCATCTTTATAGTTTCTTAGATTTACATTTGGCCACTAGAAAAACATAATATGTTATATCATATATGTATTTATCAATTCCCAAACATTTAATTGTGATGAATTACAATGAATAATAAAATGAAGCCAATCAAGCCATGACCAAGAAGTATCCTGCCATACCTTAAGAATGGTCCCTATAAGATTCCAATTCCATTCAAGATTCTCTTTATGTTGAAGGACTTGGCTATCTCTAAGGTTCATTAAAAGAGCTTCCTCTGTATCCTAAGACCATCAGAAAGTAATAAGGAAAATTAAAGCAAATTATCTTCACATTGAGAAGACTAAGTTCAAATTTTAAAAATAAAAAGAAAGATTTTTCATTTAAGGATGAATTGTGAAGGCTTTTTAACTTTAAAAAGTTATAAAAACATAGCTCTAAACTACCTGGTCATTATAAAACTGAAATGCCATTTGAAGATCCATAAGCATGAATAAAACTGCAAACTCAAGCAAGTATATGCACATTAAAATCCATCGGCTAAAAAATTAGGAAACTAAGTTAAAACCTGCGGTATTTCATGTCAGTACCTTAAGAACAAATATATCTTTCTGGACTCGGAGATACTGATCCCGTTTCTGGTGTGTTGCAATTGCTTTCTGAATAATGTGATCTAAATGGAGGCTGTAAGGCTTAGGTCCTCGTTTCTTCATTTCATGGAAGCGTTTTAAACAGTTCAAGGCTGCACTGGCTCGCCTAATGAAAAAAAACTGAATTAGTTCTGTAGCAAAGTTAGCATTATGCTATCTATCTACTGAGAGAGAGAGAGAGAGAGAGAGAGAGAGAGAGAGAGAGAGAGAGAGAGGGGTTCTTAAGCAGGCTCCATGCCCAGCGCAGAGCCCGTTGCAGGGCTCAATCCCACAGCCCTGGGATCATGACCTGAGCTGAAATCAAGAGTCAGATGCTCAAATGACTAAGCCACCCAGGTGCCCCAAAGCTAGCATAATTTTAAAGAGATCAATCTGGTAAATTACTGTAGTAAAATATATAAATTCAAGGCCAGAGATTGTTACTAAAAAGTAAATCATTTAATCAAATTTGGAACCACAAAGAAAAAAATATCAAGAACACTGCTGATTTGTATGAAGAAACACAAATTATTTAGAGCCAACTAAATATGTATTTACTAATCATTTTTCCTGTGGCGGTGGGCACTTTTTATATTATTGGTTTTAAGAACTACAAAGTCTGAAATCTAGTGTTCTCTGTTTTCTTATAAAAGTTTAAAAAACTCGCTTTTCACATTTAAATCCTTAATACATCTGAAACTGATTTTTATTTATGGTATGACACTGGAATATTTCATTTCTACTCCCTGTGGATAATCGATGATTCCAGTATCAACCTGTACAGTCTCTACTTCCCTCATTGATCTACAACTGTAAATGGTATCCTTTCACATATTGTTTTTAATTCCTTGTTTGTGGTACATAAAAGCACAGTTCTCAAGAATCTGGTGGCAATCAAGTCTCAACTACAGAAGTTCTGGTAAATACAAATCAGATTTAAAATTTAAAAACCTTGAGATGTGTTCAGATTAGCAAGTATTTAGAAGTAAAGAGAGCTTGCTGAGCTAAGAAAAACAAAAACAAAAGCCATTATAAGACTGTTATTACTGAAATTTTGAAGGTAAATTTGAATTCTTCATAAACCCTAAAATTCATGGCCATAATCTAACCCAGAGAGTTTAGGTCTACCAGGCTTTGGGAAATACATTTTTCCATCATGTTAACTACTAAAATAAAAACTGAAAGGGGAGCCCTGGCTGGCTCAGTCAGTACAGCATACCGCTCTTGATCTCAGGGTCATGAGTTCGAACCCCACATTGGATGTAGAGATTGTTTACATTAATACATTTAACAAAGAAAAAAGTTGAAAGCTATCAGTACTAATGGAAGCCTAGAGTTAGAACTGAGACAGATGATCCCTATGGCTTTTAGGGATCTTCAGTCTACTAAGTAATAGTATATTCATAGGTAAAATTAAAATTAATAATACATTATTTATTTATAGTGAGGCCCGTTTATGTACTTTTGAATTTAAAAAACTTTTTTTTTTTTTTGAGAGACAGAGAGGGTACAAATGAGCAAGGGGCAGAGAGAGAGAGAGAGAGAGAGAAGCAGGGCTCACCCAGGGCTTGTGTTTTACCCAAAGCAGGGCACGAGCTGACCCCGAAGCGGGGTTTGTGCTCACCCGAAGCGGGGCTCATGTGTTACCCAATGCAGGGCTCGAGCTCACCTGATGTGGGACTCAAACTCACCAACTATGAGATCATGACCTGAGCCAAAGTCAGATGCCTAACAACTGAGCCACCCAGGCACCCAAAAGCTAACTTTGAAGAAATGTGTAACTGTTAATAAAAATTCATAGTTCTGAATAGCTAATGAACTGCATTTTACTAATGTTACCAAAAAAAGTCCAAATATATAGATTTCTCTGATAATAGGCAGAATAAAAAAAAAAAAAAGGAAAAAACACCCCTGCTTAGACATAATCTTAACTAAATGAAAAGATTCCTACTAGCACTTTCCAATCAAGCTTCTTCATCTTTACCTTTTAAAGTATATGTTATTATTAGCACTGAAATTCCACCAGAGCTACAGCTGTATTACCATACTCTTGGTTAAAAATTCTGTTTGTAGTATCTACTTCAGTATTAACAGTTTAGTTTACTTCAATGCCTACAGTATGAGTTACTAAATTCCAACATTTTTAATTACACACATAAAAGAATACATTGTTTTAATATTTGTGCTTTGTTAACTTGAAATATTTTAGACATTAAAAAAAGAGCCTGAATTGCTGCTGAAAACATAAAACAGTCAAAAAAATTCTCAACCAACAATTTTAATGATGAAGTAGATGGATGTCCTTGTCCAGAAATATGCTAGAAAAACCTGATTTTACTAAGCTATAATACTTGGTAGCCTAAAATACAAATTATTAAATAATACTATTAATTTTCCTTTACCTATGAGGCTTTCCTAAAAAAACAATTAAAAAAAACCTAAAAAATTTTAAAAAGAAGAGAAGATCATCTAAGTGGGTATTAATATCAGACACAATCTTTGCTACAGAGCTCTGATACTTACAGTCTCTTTTCCTTGGGGATATCAAAAGATGCAGCCATATTCATTAGGGTTGGCAGGCAGTGCAAATGATGGCTATGTGAATGAGGAAGAATTGTATTTGCCTAAAATGAAACATAACATTTTTTAAGAGTTGATAAGTAGAAATATTTTATTCTAGAATATCCATAGATAAAATACTAAAGGCTTTACTCATGAAATTAACTTAATGACTTTCCAGTACACTTATTTATAATTTTTTATCTTATCTACTTTCAACAAGGATGAGACAGAATAAAGATACAGACTCACATTAATAAAACTCCAAATTTTATAGATCCTATAACTTTATAATTTTTAAGCAGTAATCAATTAAATTCAATTCTTAAATGATTTAAAAGGATTACATATCAAAACTTAGATCCAGTGCTATAATTAATCCTGCTTTCTAAACAAAACCCACCACTCAATTTGCTTTCTATCAATGAAGAAAGATAATAAACAATGAACTAACACCAATATACTTAAAATGACCAGCTTTTATATTTCAAGGGAATCATAGAACCCTGGTCAGGGAGGAAAGGAACAGATGAAATTTATTTTTAAAAAATTCTTCATTTAAAAGCAACTAATTCTAGATATTGATAACCTTATAGAAAATTATATACTAAGAATTAAAATAAAAATCAGATCTGAGAAACCTGTAATATTACTTAATTCCTCCATGGATAGGCTGAATGAGAATGCAGCACACGGCTGAACAATTCCCTGATAAACAAGACAGTTCTTTTTTTTTTTTTAGTTTTATTTTTATTTTTTTAATGTTTTATTTATTTTTGAGACAGGGAGAGACAGAGCATGAACAGGGGAGGGTCAGAGAGAGGGAGACACAGAATCTGAAACAGGCTCCAGGCTCTGAGCTGTCAATACAGAGCCCGATGCGGGGCTCGAACTCACGGACTGCAATATCATGACCTGAGCCGAAGTTGGCCGCTTAACCGACTGAGCCACCCAGGCGCCCCATCAAGACAGTTCTTAAACTCTGTTTAATTCTCTTTATCTCACTCACAGAGCCCAGCTGCTATGTGGAAAAAAAAAATACAAAACACTAGGGGTGGGGGAGGACTGAAACAACAGAAATAAAAAGTATTCTGCCAATAAGAGAAAACCATAACATAATTTTAAAAGATCTGCCACAGGGTTACTTCTTCCTTAATGAATTGAAAGTGGTTCCTTTTATTTAGCATTCTATTAACAAATAGGTGACCTAGAAACAGGAATTTCTACTTGCAAACAATCAGTTCTCCCATTCCTTGATTTGCTGGGACTAGAGAATGGTCAGATCACTTTATTAGCTCCTTTTTTCCAGAAGTTACTGATGTCACAAAAATCAAGGCAAAAAAAAAAAAAAAAAGATTCTCACCCTCTAAACCTCAACCCACAAGTGTGCAGAGAAAAATGTGTTCAAACAAGGGAGTTCTATTTAGAAAATTTTCACAAAGTTTTCTAAAATTGAGGCACTATTTGCAACAATGTGGATGGAACTGGAGGGTATTATGCTAAGTGAAATAAGTCAGAGAAAGAAAGATATCATATGTTTTCACTCATATGTGGAATCTGAGAAACTTGACGGAAGACCATGAGAGAAGGGAAGGGAAAAAAATTGTTACAAACAGAGAGGGAGGCAAATCATAAGAGACTCTTAAATACAGAGAACTGAGGGTTGATGGGGCGAGAGGGGAGTGTGGGGAAAATGGGTAATGGGCATGGAGGAGGGTACTTGTTAGGATGAGCACGGGTGTCGAACATAAGCGATGAATCATGGGAATCTACTCCCAAAGCTAAGAGCACACTGTATATGCTGCATGTTAGGCTAACTCGACACAAGAAATATTTTAAAAATATAATGAATAAAATTCAGGCACTGATTGCCATATTATTTCTACTGCTACCTGATAAAAATATCTAGTTTTGTAATTTCTTGCTTATTAGGCAGAATATCTTTCTGAGATACATTAAGATTTATAGGACTCAAAATGTCAGTATCAAAAGTGAGTATAAAAATCAATATTCAGTACTTATTAAAATATTTTTTAATTTTTAATGTTTTTTATTTATTTTTGAGACAGAGACAGAACATGAGCAGGGGAGGGGCAGAAAGAGAGGGAGACACAGAATCTGAAATAGGCTCCAGGCTCCAAGCTGTTAGCACAGAGCACGATGTGGGGCTCAAAGTCACAGACTGAGATCATGACCTGAGCCGAAGTCGGATGCTCAACAGACTGAGCAACCCAGGCGTCCCAATATTCAGTACTTTTTAATTTTTACATTTGTTCCATTTATAAAACTAGCCTATACATAAATACACACACACACACACACACACACACGTATAGATAAATACAAGGCATCAAGGCTCTTTGCAATGTAGAGACAAATAAAAAATGAACTTTACTTTTTGAGGTACTACAAAGTAACATTATTAAAATAACCTTTTTATAAATTAAAACAGTAAATGGTATGAAACATAATCAGGAGTTGTGAACTTACCATATGGAGAAGCTCTCCTAAGAGGATGGTAGCTCTAACTGAGATATGGTCATCACTGTTTGTTATCACTTCAACCAAGCCCTTTGAAAATAAGAAAGAAAATATTATAGTTGCAAAATAGTATCTAGGAAGAAATGTATGCATCATATATGCCTGTTGCTCTGAAAGAACTCTGTCAGAGAAAATTTTAAAAAATAAAATAAAGTTAAGGTTTATTAAGTCTTGCCTCTAGAAGTCCATTACGAATAAATGCAGAGAGTATCAGCGCCAAGTAATTATCCATGAGGTCTGGCCTAGAAATAAACACAGCACAGAAAGAGTTTAAATACTGTTCAATGTATTACATAATTGAACATAAAAACAGTAACTAATAAATTTGAACTATTTCTCAAAATTCTACCTGGATCTGGCACGATGAGGAAGAATAGTTTTTGCCTCGGCTGCTACAAAGCCATCTGAAAGCCTCCAACTGTCTTGGAATCTGCCTGGATCTAAATAGTTAAAACCAGGTGGTTAGAAAAAAATGAAAAAAATCACTAAAACATATCAGTTAACCATCAGCTAGTCAGGCTATAAATAATGTTTTAAAATGTTAGTTAAATAAATAGACTGAAAAGGCATACAGAAAAAACTGATTTCTTAATGTACACAGATCTAAACTTCTTTCATTTTGGGTCTTAGGAGTCATTTGGCTAAAACGAAATGAGAATGAGATAATCTAATCTGAGAATTACATCAGTTTCTTATCTCCTCTCTTCCTTTCAAATTTGTCCATCTTTCTATTAATTTCACTGTTCATATGCAACAGCTAGGGTCATGAGAAAAAATTTTTAATTTCTTATTTTTAGAAATTTATTTGACATTTTATTTTCATATCAATTCCATGATGATGCAATAAGAAGATGATATTTAATATTTAGTTCACTATTTTGCTTTTAAAGGACTCTGACTCTATCAGATAAACCATTTAAAAAATTACAATATAGGAACAGATACAAATGTACTTCGATACTTACCTACACTAAGCAGTGCTTCTATGAATTCTTCAGTCACAACAGGTAGAGGAAGACGAAATATATCATAGAGTACTTCAAGCAGACCTCGCTACAAGTGCAAATAAATACAGTCCATTTATTTTTATGGAATGAATCATTTAAATTAAGAAACTAAAAAATTGAAAAGAGTTTTTTAAATGTCTTATTCACAGAATAAAATACTGATAAAGACAAAACTACTGTATGTTAGAAAATTACCATATCAGGCCTATATTACACAAGAGATAACTACAGCATGCTTACTATATACACGATTTAATCTTTCCAATAAATCTTTTATTATCCCCATTGTAGTAGATATGGAGAAATAGATTTACAGGTTAAAAGTAATTTGCCCAAGGTCATGGAGCTATCAATACTAAAATCAGGAGTCAAATCTGAGTTGGCCAGACTCCCAAAACCATGTTCTTTCACCATCTGCTAAGTAAGCAGTCAAGTGAATTGCCCTAATCTTTAGCTCCCTGCTTATAGGTCTTTCCATCTACAATCACATCTTTCCACTTCCGTTCTAAACGCTTTTCACTTCACATTAAGCAAGGCACCATTGGCTAATATTTTCTAATATTTTTAAACTCCAGGTTTGGTTCAAACAAAGAAAAACAAGAAAAGGGCAAATTTATTCTTTTGAACACAATTAAAACAAAAACATTTAAGTGGAGAAGGAAGAACCACCAAAGAATTTTTTTCCTCCAATTTCAATTTGTTTCAGCTGTTTAATATAAATTGTTATGCATTAACAATTTAGGAATATATCTAATAAGCATATAAATATTAAACTAATTTTAATCAAAACCGCCACTCATACATATTATGAAAACATAAGTTAGAAGGCATAAGATACATAAATACTGTATTTAGTTTTTACTAAATATATTTCTGTACTGCTTGAACCTTTTATGAGAATGCCCTTCCACATTGTTTGCATTTTTTAATGAATAAAGTACAATTGATTTCATATTTTAATCCAGTTTTTAATACAGCCACAGTTCCTAACAACATCAGTATTTCAAATTTTTCACATTATCCTTAGGGTTCAACTAAGCAGTATACATTTATTCATGTATTTGTTTAAAAAAATTTTTTTAATGTTTATGCATTTTTGGAGAGAGAGACAGAGCATTAACAGGGGAGGGGCAGAGACACAGAGGGAGACATAGAATCTGAAGCAGGCTCCAGGCTCCGAGCTGTCAGCACAAAGCCCAACACGGGTTAGAACTTAAGAACCATGAGATCATGACCTGAGCTGAAGTTGGACATTTAACTGAGCCACCCAGGGACCCCTATTCATGTGTTTTTTTAAATGACCTATGATATAGAATAAGGAAAAGGCAACACCTGAAATAGATTTTTTTTTTTTTTGAACAAATAATCTCCTCTGTTAAAAGTCTAGGAATAAAACAATTAGAGTAACTTTTACCTACCCTTATTTCCATATTTGGTATACAAAGTACTCCAATTAGAGACTGGATCCCAGAGTTTCCAGGTTTGCATAAATTAATAATACCTACAAAGGATAAAAAGGGAAATTACTGATTTAAATTTCAAAAAAAATCTATAGTATTCATAATATAAAATCTGCAGTATCTTTCCAAATAATTTCCAAAACTGTGCTATTATTTGGTTATCAGAAGTAACATTTCCCTGTTGACTAGAGATTATTAGTAACTTTATCATTTAAATTCCTTCTTCTATTTGTTTCATACCCAAAAATGTTCATGAATCTGTCTACTACTCCTGTTTACTGATGACTGGTTTTCAGAAAGTAATACCAGAGAGAGTAAGACAACATTCTGTCTTTCTTATATAATACCCTCTTAACCTAAAGTGGAGTGAAAAACTTGCTTGGCTTTTGTCTTTTAAAAGTTTAATTCTAAAATTTATTGAATACACAAAAGGCTGTACCTGACAGACTTCAATTAATCTTTATAGATCAAAATTTTAAGTGAAATAATTAAATCAAACAATTTTAAGCACATTATTATGTCACAAAGGAAGTTATGTGAAGAGCCAATAAACACGGACAAAATATTCAATATTCAGTCATTGGGGAAATCCAAATAACATTCCCAATGAGATACCACTTTACACCCATCAGAACGGCTAAAATTAAAGACAACACGAAATGCTGGCAAGGATGCAGAGCAACTGGAACTCTCATACACTGACGATGGGGGTAAAAAATGGTGTAAGTATGCTGAGAAAAAGTCTGTCAGTTTCTTACAAAAAAAACTAAACATGCATCCACATTGTGACCCAGAAATTCTGTTCGGGTATTTACCCAGAACAAATGAAAGCTCATGTCCACAGAAAGACTTTTTAATTGCTCTGGTAATCATTAGCACACTGACTTACAAATAGACCATTTTAATAATTTTGTACAAATCCCTCTGACTCTAATAATAATGTATAAAGTTAAGACTAGGTTAACATCTAAATCAGATGATGCAATAGTAATTTAACATATGACAAAATAATCAAGTTTTTCTTACTGGATGTTAAAGCAGCAGAGTAACTTACCTGCCCATGACCGGAATGTTGCTATGATTCCCATTTTACTGGCTAGAAACCTCGCTTCTCTGTCTTCTCTGTTTGAAAGTGGAGCAGAGACCCAAGAAATTAAATGTTAAAATAAAAAAGTGTGATTTTTTTCTACTGTATCAGAAAAAAACCTATCATTAACATTTAAATGTTCACACAGGAAATAACACGTTAAAAAAAAAAAAGATCTACCTCAAAGAAAATTACCCAATTATATACTGACTCCCACCCCAATTTAAAATTCCCAACATATTGGTTTAAAATAAGTTATAAATTCCACTTTTTAATTTAGTTCGACTTTTTCTACTCTTTCTGAAAACTATTCTTAGATACCTCATTAACACCTTTAATTGAGCACTAGAGGGGTGCCTGGGTGGCTCAGTCAGTTAAGTGTCCGACTTCAGCTCAGATCATGATCTTGCGGTTCGTGAGTTCAAGCCCGCGTCGGGCTCTGTGCTGAGAGCTCAGAGCCTGGAGCCTGCTTCAGATTCCGTGTTTTCCTCTCCCTCTGCCCCTCCCCTGATCACACTCTGTCTCTCTCTGTCTCTCAATAATAAACGTTAAAAAAAAAAAAAAAAATTTGAGCACTAGAAGCAGCAACACCCTATTTAATAAGTATCTCTGTCACAAGGCTTAGCAAAGAAAATTACCTTTTACTTTTGCCACATGCAATCCTTTAAGTATTTATTTATTTAACCTCTACTCCTAACTTGGGGCTTGAACTCAAGACCCCAAGATCAAGAATCACATGATCTTCCGATGGAGCCAGCCAGGTGCCCCAACGTGTATTCTCTTTACTTGAAACTTCTTGTCCAAATTTATTTGAACATTTCTAACAAGTAAGCCCAACAACCCATATTATTAAAAAACTAGATATTAATATCAACAGCTGCTTTCTTCTCTTAAAATTGTGTATCCAAACTGTCTCACTTGTTCTTTCCCATACAATAGTTCATGACCGCTAATTAAGCAATATAACTATTTACATTCATTATATATTTTCCATGTATGGCTTATGGCCAGTTTCAATACTTAATAGCAATCTTACACTATGCCACCTCAACCCCACCTCTATTCTGTGTCTGTTTTTTTCTGTGCTATCTTTTTTCTTTCCTAATAAAATCCTTAAACAGGTCTGAGAATACAGAAATTGAGAACTTAGAAAACAAAAACAGAGGGGATTAAAAAAAAGACAGAAAATCAAGTTAAAAGAATGGTGAGTAATCAGAGTCTACAAAAGAGGAATGAAACACTTAACAATAAACACAAACAAGCCACCCTAAGCTTGGCAGCATCAAATAAATGAGAATGCAACAGAAACTGAAATGAGGAGATGAGGTGGTGAAAGAAATGAGAACTGGACAACTATGGGATAAAGCTTCTGGTGCTCCTTCTCTTAAAAATGTTAGTGACAAGGGAGCCTGGATGGCTTTGGTGGTTAAGTGTCTGACTCTTGGTTTCAGCTTAGGTCATGATCTCAGGGTTCCTGAGTTTGAGCTCAGTGTCAGGCTTAGCTAAGAGTGCAGACCCTGCTTGGGATCCTCTGTCTCTCTAGGGGATCTCTGTCTTGGGATCTCTGTCTCTCGAGAGGAAGAGAGAGAGAGAGGGAGAGCGAGAGGGAGAGTGAGTGAGAGAGGGGCCCTGCTCATGCATTCTCTCTCAACAAACAAACAAACAAACATTTAAAAAAATGTGAATGACACACCTATAGTGACTGCCTGGTAATCCATTCTCTAACATATTCAATAAATTTGTAGCATTTTAAAAAAAAAATCACTCATTTTCTTGTTTCCTGGCCATAATGTACCTATACTCTAGGAAATACCCATACTCTAGGAACTTAATGAATATGTAGAAACAAACAGGTAAGGAAGGATTTTGGTGGAATGTACTTTTCCCTCTCCAACTCTAAAAAAATACCCAGGCTCATCTCTCATTCATCCTGGTAGACAGAACTCTAAAAACGTCCTCCAACCCCTGAAGATTCTATGCCTTAATCCCTCGACACTGTGAATATGGTATCACTGCCACGTTGTCACTAATTTATGTTATACAGCCTGGCAGATCATCTGGTAGGCTTGATCTAATTGGAGAGCTTTCACCAGCTGGTGGTAGAAGAGAAAGTCAGAGAGATTCAAAGTAAAGGGTTCCAGGAATTTTTTTCTGTTTGAAGACAGAGGGAGCCATGTGCCAAAGAAAGAGAGTGGCTTCCAGAAGCTGAGAGTAGGCCCAGCTGACAGCAAGGAAACCGAGAACTCAGTTTTACAATAGCAAGGAAGTAAATTCTGCCAACAACCTGAATGAGCTTGGAAATGGATTTTTCATCAGAATCCCCAGATAAGAGCTGTGCAGACTTATGACCTACTGAGCTATGAGTTAATAAACTGATGTTATTTTAAGCTGGTACATTCATAGTAATTTGTCATGTAGCAATAGAAAGTGTATTTCTCCCATCAAGAAGGACAATGCTAAATATCATAAGGAAAAGCCAAGAAAAGGGCTAAAAGAATCCCAATCCATAAGGAGTAAGGTTTGAGAAGTCTTAGAGAACACCTTTTTTGATTTCTTAGCTCAGATCATGAAATGTTAGGGTGTGATGAGTCCACAGGGATAGAAGTGATTACAGATCTGAAACCACTATTTCATAAAAATGAAAAAAAAAATCTCCATTTCGTAATATTCTAAAACTTAAGAATTTTAAGTTGTATACTATCTATCAAGTAAGTGCTTATTTATGTCTGCAATCCAACAATTCTACTAGAAAAACACTTCATATTTATTGTAATTATACCCTCTGCAAAATCTTCACAGATAATACACTAATACATTGATAATACACTGATTCCCTGAATCAATTTAGTTATCTCAGAATACCTAGTGAACATGTGCTTTTCTCTCCAAAAAAAAACTCTGAAAATTACCCTATTTCTAGAAAACCTTTTCTCTCTCTCCTTTTATTTCCTTACTAACTTTACTTTCAAAATTCTACAGAGTATATCTTTCTGCTTACTCAGTTTGTTAGGGTAGCTCTTCATTCTATTCCCTTTCGTTTTTCATTCTTTTAGTCTCTCAATGCAATTATGCTAAAAATACATACAAGAGAAAAACAAAGATCTAGGTTTCTACCACAGCCCATCTTATATTTTTTTCATTAAGAGCTTAATTCCAAGTCTTTAAATTTCTCATAGCTTATTTTTAATTTTTTAAACCACAGTTAATTATATTATGAGAACTATAACATAACTCCATGAAACAGGAAATTTATTTAAATTTACATGTTCTGGCTCTACAAGCAATCAGGCAAATCTAAAAGCTTTAACAGCAACACACTTCCTTGTAAGTTATTAGGAACCAGTGGTACTTACTTGAGTTGTCCTTCAGCTGTATCTGGACTATGTCTGTAGTGAAAATCAGTATAGGGTGCTAAAATTCGCTAATAAAAATAAAGGAGAAAAAGAAGAAGAAAAATGGTCCTTATCATAAAATGCATTCTTCCTGTAATAAGTTAAAGTTAATTTCACTTATCTATATCTTTGATTGGGTATACTATTTGAGAGACTTATTTCTCCAAATTCATCATCAAGGAATATACTTGAGTGATTTTTTTCATGTACCAATCAAATTTTTTAACTTTTAAATTGAGGTGTAACATATATATAAAACAGTACATGAACCACAAATGTAAGGTTTGGTGTATTTTCTCAAACTAAGCACATTCCTATAACTGGCACCAGAGGAAGAAAACATTAGCATCCTTAAAGTCTCCTTATTCCTTCTTTCAACTCAGTCACTACCTACCCCCAGATTATTATCCTGACTTTTAAAACTATGACTTAGTTTTGCTTCTTTTTGAACATTATTAAGTGGTTTTATTTTATAAATTCATTCTTCTTTTCACGCTAGTATAAAAAAATCCAAGTTATTTTGGTATATTGCTCTTGTATTCAGCAATCTTGCTAAACTCACTCATTTTAAAATTTTAACCACTGTATCAGGTTTACCATCCCTCCCACTGTGCCTCCTGCATTACTGTGGTCTAATTTTTAATATTAAACAGAATTTACAATACATAAGACATTATTAAAATGACTTTTGCCAATCGGTATTCTTTTATATTTAGTCACCTCTGTGCCTTTTCTATCATGCATCATTCCTTCCAACATTTCCTTATTTGTCTTAGATCATTTTCCTTCTGAGGACTCCCCTTACTCTTTCATTCTTTGTGTGTCTCATTTTTTAAACAATAAATATTTATGATCTCATATGGTTTCTGTGAGTCGGGAATCTACTAGAGGCTTAGGTATGCAGTTATGGTTTAGGGTCCCTCATAAGACTGCAGTCAAAATACTGTCAAAACTAGAGTCACCTGAAGACTGTTTCAAGATGGTTCACTCACAATGTGCTAGTTAGTTGGCAACAGAGCTCAGCTCCTCCCACATGTACCTCTCCCCTTGGGCTGTTATAGTGTCTTCTAGACATAAGGGCAAATAATGCAAGAAAGCGTACTGTTTCTTTACATTCTCTTTGGTCTTTTCTTCATTTTTCTTAGCCTCAAACATCTGTATTTTCCCTTTGTTTTTGAAAGACATTTTCTTTGGGTTAGGCTGGAGTTTCTTTCTTTGGGTATTCTAAAGATACCATTTTACCATCTCCTAGTTTCCATGATTCCTGTTGGGAATCAGCTATCAGCTATTACGTTCCTTTGAAAGTGATGTCTTTTTGTTTTTTCTTTTACCCCTGGAGCTGCTTTCAAGATTTTTATTTATCTTGGTTTTTTAACAATCTTACCATGATGTGCATACATGTTGTTTTCTTCGTATTTCCTTATTTGGAGTTTTCTAAGCTTTGTGAACATGAGGCTTTATCACTTTTAGAAACAAAAGTTCTGGCCACTGTCTCTTTAGATATTTGCTTCTGCCCATTTTCTCTTTCTTCTCTAAAGACAAAGTTCTATCACTTCATTTCCTTCTTGTCCCCACTCTGTGCTTTACCCTGGATATTTTTATTGATTTTTCCTCCAATTTACTAATAATATCTTCTTGTCCAAAATGAATTTTTCATTGAGTTCAGAATTTCAGGTATTCTATTTTTCAGTATGAGAACTTCCATTGAATTCATTTGTATATTCCAATTATCTGGTGAAATTCTCCATTATTTCATCTATTTTCTTCCTTCATTTTCCTGAACAAATTACTCATGGTTGTTTTAAAATCTTTTCCTTCTACCTGCACTATCTGGATCACCTGTGGGCATGTTTCTCTTTTGGCTTTTTAGTCATATGGTTGTATCTTTTTGCATGACACTCAAATGAATAAGTGAATGTCAGGCATTGTGAATATTATAAAAGGTCTAAGCAATGTTATCTCAACCAGAGGTGGTTTATCCTTTCCTCTGTTAGGTAGATTAATGGGGGCTGGTGGTGATCATCTTATCCTTATCACCAACTGAGTTAAATTGAGACTACCTTGTAATTCTGAGACTAAGTATACCTTTGGTTTTCCTATGTTCCTGAAGTATGATCTTCCGGTGCTTTCAACAGAGCTTAGCCACTATTTCTCTCCTCAGCAATAAGAGACTAGGCATCTTTTCTACATATTTCCTAAGTTTTGAACTTAGATCTTTAGCTATCCACCCAGAATGGCTTCAGAATTTGGGAAGTGTCAAGAACAGGAAATCAGCTATGAAAGATCCAATTCTGTCACCTTAGTACCACACAAATGCCAAAAGCTCTTTTGGTTTTCTGATCCCAGCAAAGGCCTACCTGGATTTTCAGCTTCTAATTATATATTAATCAATAAGTGGCCCCAAGAAAAAAAGTAGTTGAGTATAACCAGTGTAAATTCATGACTTTTAGGCCTTCCAACTTTTGCCCACGGCCCCTCCTACAGGCCATCTGCAATTGCATGCACTGGGGGCTGCAGCATATTCCACCATGCTTTCCTCAGGACTGGACATCACAGCCTTTGCCCTGCACAGTCTTGTTTCAGCAAATGTCTAAAGGGGTAAATCAGACGTGGTCTGAGGAATTTTCCTGTTTCTAGGCTTGTCACTCCATACCTGCATGACTGCCAAGTAAGTCTGGTCTTCTACCAGGCCCACGTCACGTTCTTAGCCATTAGCCTAGGCCCCAAATCTGCAAATGCCCCAAAGGCACCTCTAGGTGCTCAGGGCAACTCTCAAAGAATCTTCCTTGTCTAGAATTTTATTGCTTACACATCTCTATACTGCTTTAAATGTATGACTTTCCTAATTATTCAGCTTTTCTAGTTTCCATAACAGATGCTATGAGCTATCCCATTCTACTCTGAAGTAGGAGTTTAAAAAATACATTTTTTAAAATTTACTATAAAAAAATTACAATTAATTTACAACCCTGATAGACTGTCTATTCTGATAACACTATTATATTAAATCCATACATTTTTCTGTCTGAGGCTAAAACGTATCCCAGATAGTAGAAATAAATGCCAGGGTAAATTTAAAAAGGGATTTTTAAGAGGAGGAAGATTTGGGGCTAACAATAGAGACGGTAGCAATGAAAACAGTTCTTCTGTATGCAGTGAATGGAAATCAAAGTATCAAATTAGAATCACATTTTGTAACATATAATTAATAAAAGTGAGGACAATATTCTCTTGGCACACTATATAATGATGATGAATAATATCCAGGGTAACCAATATTCGTTGAATATTTACTATGTGCTAGGTATTCAATAAAACATTTTATGTACATTAGAATCAACATATATAAAGTACCCAGAAATACTGTCTAACTCATTATAAGCATTACATGAGTGTCGGCTGGTGTTACTACCACTACTATTATTATTATAGTATTTACTGTTCACAATAAATCTTTTGAGTTGAAAACCATGACCTTCATTTTACCTAAGCAAAAATGGGCCCAAGAAAGGCTTATAACTTAGCCAAAGTCATAAATCTAATAGGTCACTGAGCAAAAAAATCAAAACCAGATCTGTATAGTACAAAGTCTATGCTCCAAATTACTATGCTATTCTGGGGAAATCTTGTTAAAGGAAAAAAGAACTAACATTTGTGGTTTTAAAGAAGTATATACAAGCAAAGACACTAGTGTACTTAAATGTCTGCCATATTCTTTTGAGGGTTTTTGTTTTTCACTTAAGTCTTTGCTAATCTGCTTTACAATTACATAGGAATAATAAACAGGCCTATTATATTACCTTCCTTTACTATAATTGTCTCACCAATGCTAAAATTATAGTTTTTCTACTTGATTAAAAAAAAAAACAGGCTAAACATATCAAAAGTGCTAGTTTATTCCCATTGGACTCCCATTAATAATGAACATATTTGAAATCACTTAACCTAAGGAGAATACTGTACTTAAATATGTTAGTTAATTATAAAGGCTGTCACTTTTATAATCTCAAATATTTCTACTACCCCTAATAAAACCAGACTACAAGATTTAAGACAACTTTCATAAAATAATTTAGACAGATACATGACAGAACAATACATCTTTTATACCTTGCATAATTTCATACCCAAATATTAAATTGTAAAGTATTTTAAAAACAAAGATTCGTACTCTATTTCTTTGAGTTGCTAACAAGTATTTCCAAGTTCAGAGAATTTTAGCATGGGTTAATAAATAAGTAGTATATAATTAGCAGGAGTTATTCACACAAGGTACTAAAGTTCTTAAAAAGAAATGGTTCTCTTAAACAAATGTGTATGTAACCTGACTTGTGCTCTAATTTGATTAATAAAGTCTTCACAGATAATAAAAAAAAACAACTTCACTTTACATGTTGATGAAATATTCTTGAGAAGACTATTTTCAATTCAGTCCAAAATGAATGAGTTATAAAATACTGCTGGGGATAAGCCAGTCTTCATTAATTTAGGTTTGGTAATTAATGCTGTGCTGCATCTGTTAACTTAAAAATTTCAAAGTATGTACTTAAAGTCATATCTTAAAACTAGAAAAGGATATTAAAGTTCCTACCTCTAATTCTACATCAGCTCGCACATATTGTCGGGTCTTTGGATGATTAAGGAGGTGCAAAATTGTAGTAATGAGGGCCTCATTTATTCGACTTAATTGGCAATCGATCACATTTTTCAAGATGGTGTTTAGTCCACCTCGAAGGGCCACCACCTCTGGATTCTGAAGTGCTAAAATAAAAAAGAAAAACTTAATAAATTTACGTAGGAGATAAATAATAAAAAGTAATAAATCGGGGATTTTATTTTGAAACTTAATTTCCTTTCTTACTTGAAAAACTTTCTAGTCAAAGACATTTAAAACATGAATAATATATATCTAATAAGAGTCACTGAATATACCTCCCCAAACCCTGAATTTTTTTAACGTCTTTGAATTGCTTATTTTGTCCGTATTTTACTGGAATAGTTCTTCTTCCATATCAATTGCAAGAAATTATTCAACCAATTTCAAACCTTTTATCTGTTTTGCAATTTAACTTCAGATTTTAAGCTCAGAAACAGCTCCCTTAAAAGATCAGGCATTTTCTGATCATGTGCATACATATGTGTGTTTTAAATGAGTTCACTGACCACCATTTCAGTTTTCAATCTGTCAGGAAATTGAGTTTTGCATTGATAGCTCAATTTTTTTCAAATGTTTAATCAATTATCCCAGCATGTTTCCCAACCTGATTTTTATCCTTCTGATATACTAAAATTTTCTATTTACCAGAGTCTGCAACTCAATTCTTTTTCCTTTTTTCTCTCTTAATAATTTAGCTTAATAGCTTTTTAAAAAATAAATTAAAAATAAAAACCTTTCCATTCGCTTCCATTTATTGTCTCTCAAAAATGTTTACATGGTTGGATCTCTCTGGTTTATTCTAGCTTAATTTTAGAATTAGGTTTCTTCTATTTTTTCTAAATTGAGGCATAATTACATATAGTAAAATCCACAGATCTTAATGCTACAGTTCAACAAATTTTGAGTAATTTTTATTCTTGTTACCAACATCCAATCAAGATACACAAATTTCATCATCCTAGAAAGTTCCCTAACACCACCCCTTCCACTACACAGACAACCAATGTTCTCATTTCGACCCATATAGGTTAGTTGTATATTATTGAGAATCAATTGGACAAATTCAAAAGTCAAAAGTAACCCCCCCCACACACACACACACAAGTCTTACATATTTCTTACTAAGTTTATTTGTTATATACAGTTTTCTTTTCTACTTTGGAAATAGTATTTTTTTCTATTATACTTACTGATTATTGCAGAAACACAAAATAAATCTATCAAATCTATACTGTCACATGTTGCCATTGTATTGAATTACTAAAGTTCTGTTTTTCAGCTGATTGAGTTTTCCAGATATATCATCTACAAAGAGTATCTTCTTTCCAACACATAAACTTCATTTATTATTTAAACTTACTAACTTGGCTGAAAGTTTTTAGCAATACAAATTAGGATTTAACGTTTGTAGTATTTATAGAGATCCACCATTAAAAATAATACAGAATGTTGGGGTGCCTGGGTGGCTCAGTTGGTTAAGCGTCAGACTTCGCTTAGGTCATGATCTCACAGCTTGTGGGTTCAAGCCCTGCATCGGTCTCTGTGCTGACAGCTCAGAGCCTGGATCCTGCTTCAGATTCTGTGTCTCTTCTTTCTACCCTTCCCCTGCTCACGCGTGCGCTTGCTCTCTCACAATAAATATTAAAAGAAATTTTTTTAAAGAATATAGAATGTTGATCTGAGATAAATATTTTAGAATGTAAACAAAGGAGGCTTCTAATTATTTTACTTTATGTATGTGTATAGGTATGTGTGTGTATACGTGTATCTATGTGTATATGTATATAAAATGATAGTTTCATTAAAAAATTGGTAGGTTTCCATATTTTAATATTTTCATTTATATTATACTATATAAGAACTCTCTCTGTTCCTTGAAACAATTTTTTTAAGACAAAACTACCTGAATGAGTCTTTTTGGAGGCAATTATTTCATCAAGTACTTTTATGGTTTTTGATCTACTATTTTCTATTTTTAGTTGGTTGAAATGCATTCATTTCAAATATACATAAAAATTATCTCATAATTAAAAAGCTCCTATTTTTTCTTCATTTGTATATTCATCTTTTGTTTCTATGTTTTTCAAACAATAGTGTGTATATGTTTGTGTACCTGTGTACGTTTCTCTCCCAATTAACAGATTTTTTTAATGTTTATTTACTTTGAGACAGAGAGAGAGAGGGAGTGAGAGAGAGCAAGAGCACGTGCACGCAAGCAGGGAAGGGGCAGAGATAGAGAATCACAAGCAGGCTCCGCACTGTCAGTGCAGAGCTGGGGGCAGGGCTCGGATATCACCATCCATGAGATCATGACCTGAGCCAAAATCAAGAGTCCGACACTTAACTGACTGAGCCACTCAGACGCCCCTGACATAGATTGTTTAAATAATTTTTTTCTTTAATTAAGACTCTTCATTGTTGCTTTTCTCCTGCTTACCTTAAAATTGATTTTCTTTCCTTCTTTTTCTATTTCTTGGGCTCACGTACTCATTTTCAATGCTTTTTGCTTAATTATAAAAGCATCTTACAGTAAGTTAACTCTAAGTATAGCTTTCCAAGCATCCCATACACTGACACGTCAAATTTTTATTATTTTCAAAATGTCATTAATTAGGGAGTGCCTAGGTGGCTCAGGCAGTTGAGCATCAGACTCAATTTCAGCTCAGGTCATGATCTCATGGATCAACCCTGCACTGAGCTTCGAGCTGGCAGTTGCCTGGGATTCTCTCTCTCTCTCTCTCTCTCTCTCTCT